CTGATGCAGTGGGTCTGGTCTGGGGCCCGCGATTCTGCATGTCTGCTATGCTCCCAGGTGATGTTAATCTGCTGGTTTGTGGATCCGAAGCCTCCGACATTACCTCTCTCTGTGTACTATCCATCATTCTGTCAGGGAAGTGTGACAGAAGTGCATTCTGCATCTCCCACTAAAGTCCAAATCCCCGAAGATCTGAGGCCATGGTCTAATTCATCCTAATACTTCCTGTCACAGTGGACGTGAGGCTGGCCTCAGTGGGCTCTGATGAGCATTCTGAGCTCCCACTTCAGTGGGCAGGGAGAGAGGTCATGGCTGCTGGATAATTAGGCCATTTCACAGCACTGGGGTGGCATCATGGTCAAGGCTAGACTCTCTTCCCTTAGGGAAGGGAGGCCCAGGGTCTAACAGTCCATGGCTCCAGGGAGCTCATCAAGATAAGACCTCCAGACTGAAAGGAAGGTGTCAAAATCAGGGTTAGCAGCAGGAAAGAGGCAGATGTGACAAAGTTTTCATATCTTCCACCTGGTACAAGGTTTTCCAATAAACAGCTGAGCACTCATTGCAATATCATAGATGACAGAAATGTCCTTATCTCCTGTCACATTTCCCAGATGTCCCCAAGATGCTTGTATACCCACAGTCCAGTAGCCACACAACAGCCAGGTGATTGTTTAAGAATGCAAATCTGATTCCTTCATTCCTCTGCTTAAAATCCTCCTAGGGAGGCCGGCCCTGTGGCGTGGCAGTTAAGTGTGCGTGCTCCTCTGCAGTGGCCCAGGGATTGGATCCCGGGTGCGCACTGAGGCACTGCTTGTCAAGCCATGTTGTGGCAGCATCTCATATAAAGTGGAGGAAGATGGGCATGGATGTTAGCCCAGGGCCAGTCTTCCTCAGCAAAAAGAGGAGGATTGGCATGGATGTTAGCTGAGGGCTGATCTTCCTCAAACACACACACACAAAAAAGTCCTCCTAGGGCTTTCCATTCGTCTTAGGATAAAATGCAAACTCTAGGAGCCTTGCCTAACCTGACCCACCCACCCACTTCCCACATGGTCTCCTCACTGTCCTCCAGGCTCACAAATCTTCAGTCACTTCGCCTCCTTTCTATTTGTCAAACACACCAAAGTCATTCCCACCCCAGGGCCTTTGCACTAGCTGTTTTTCTTCAAGTGTCATCACTGCTTTACCTTCATAGCCTCTGGTCACAGGCAAGGTTTTCATAGCAAAGTAACTACAAAATGAGGTATAACCTTTGCTTTTGTGGTTTTGACATGGATTTGTTTTTATCTTGATTCTTACTCAGTTGAAGCCTGAGACAGTTTGACACCTTCTTGTTACAAAGAGGGGACTCAAGCCAGAGACAGAATCAGACTTAAAGCCACTCAGATTTGGGGGTGCAGAATTGTGAAGGACAGAGCCAGAGGTTGTGACATGGACTCATGGCGAAGGAAATTTAATCTTAACATACTACATACTACTTGGACCTGCTGTGTTTAGCAATATTTACACAGTCAAAATGCTCCCCCTCTTTTTTTTGGATTTTGTCTTTGGTGAGTCCAAGGTTGCATGTAGGAAGGTACAGACAATCCTGGATCTTTCTTCCATTTGTGTTATCCAATTTTTCTTTGTCACAGAATATACTTTTTGAAACCAGAAGAGAGTGATTTGTAATTTATGGATTTCTCTCTAGAAATTACAACCAGAACCTAATTTTAAAAATCCAATTGGTTTCATCTAATTAAATTTGGAAATTGCCTCATAAACACATACTCTGTTATAAACGAGTTTAAAAGCAAAGTCTCCTGCTTACTGTCTGGGGCAGCACTGGGTTGAGATCAGCGAGGAGGGGACTCCCCGTCTCTGCTCAGGAGGACATGCTCTCTTATCAAGTGCTGAAATTTTCTAAACAGTAGTATGGTCTAGAGCAGTGCTCCTCAGACATTAACACCCACATGAATCACCCAGGGATCTTGTCAAAATCGAGACTCTGATTCAGGAGGCCTGGTGGGGCCTGAGATGCTGTATTTCTAACCAGCTGCCAGGCAATGTCGATGCTGCTGGTCCATGGACCACACTGAGTAAGAGGCAAGACATCCACACTTCAATTCAGGATTCACGAATTGGCCATATTGGCCAGATGATCTCGGTCTTTTCACTTCATCTCTCTGAGTCTCAAATGCCTCATTTGTATGTAATGACAAGAGCTAATATTTATTAACGCTATTTCTAAATGCCAAACACAGTACTAAACATATATTCATGTTTATAAATAAATTTATAAATGAGTGGCTACTTGATGCACCCAAGGTTACATAGCAAGTAAGTGGCAGAGCTGCAATTCAGAACTAAGCTGTCTGACCTCAAAAGTCAATGTTCTTACCTTCTGAGTCCTCGCTAGCTTGTGATACACATGGTCACAGCCATGTTTATGCTCAAAATACAATGGCCTAAGCCCCCAACCTTAGCTCCCTTTCACAGCACTAGCCAAGAATTTTGGCATGTTTCCAAAAGGTAGCCTCAAATGCTCACAAACGAGTCAGTCAATTTCAGCTTTCTAGCTCTGGTTCTCTGTAATCACAGCCCAAGTAGCAGCCAAGAAGCTACTTGAAGGTGTCTCACCAGAGCTGATTCCAGTAGAATCCATCATGGGAACGCTAACATCCCTGGCATCTGGGCTTCAAAAATCCACAATGCACTGGGTTCACTTAGAAGTGAGAAGCAAGGAGCATTGCCCCAGTCTGTGCCCACCCTTGCACCCAGAGCTCCAGAGTGTGCACCACATAATGGTGCCTCAACTTCAGGAAGCTATTGCTCAAACAGGACGTCTAACTCACAGTTGTGTTTGCAGCCTTGTTCTCTCTCTATTTCTTTTTTCTTATCCTGGAATAGCAATCAAGGGTTTCCTAGCCCAGCCCAGCGCATAACCCTATTACAGGAAGAAGTATATTTCTCCCAAGCAAGAAGTCTGTGCAGACATATGACTGTACCTGCAACATGGCTTAGACTAGTGGTTTCCAAGTGCAGGTAGGTCTGAGGACCTTTTCAGACAAGTTGTCCTTAACCCAAGGTGAAAAACCATAAGGAGATGGTCATAAGTTATTCATAAACCTACATTTATTCAATTTGAAAGACTGCCTTTTATTCTGAAATTGTGTCCTTTCTATATGTTTGAAATTATGTCTTTTATGAAAAGATGTTAATAAAAGACAGTAAAGTACTCTACGTTGGTTCCCCCAAACCTTTGAAATGTTACTGCCCTGTAAATTCCAAAAGTCTTGAACAGTTGGCATAGAGAACCATTTATATAACAGTACCAAATGACTGAACTCTAAATCATGGATCCTTTCCGTCTGCTTTCCAAAGAACAGTTTGCCACACACAATAGATCTCGATTTCATTAGCGTGTGTCTGTGTGTGTGTGTGTGTGTGTGTGTAATTGTGGCCTCTGCTTTCCAAAGAAAAGCATGTAGCTTTGAAATGATTGGGTTTTGCTTCAGTTGAGTTTCCAGTCCCTCACTTCCCCGACAAGGTTTTAAACACATCCTCGGCAAGGCCTATCAATATGAGTACCTCCCCTCCTCTAGCAGTGTCGCTGGGAAGGAAGCTTCTCCCAACCCTGTGGCCCAAGATGGCTCGGAAATGGTGGGGTTGGATGTTTGCTCCCTTTTTCCGTGCGCTGATCTTGAGAGCTGCACCAAGCTCCCTGCAACTTCTAAAATGGAGATGTTAGCTCTTCTGAGGAAGGCTGGATTAGTGACTAGGCGTTTTCTGAAGGTGTTTCCTCAAGGACTTTGTACATGATGGATAGTTTTCTTCTCCCTCAGAGAGCTCTGATGTCCATCCAGGTCTCTCTAGAGAGCTTCCGTGTCCATCAGATTAATCACAAATATTTTTCTCTCATCAGGTACTCCTTGATTTTCCTCCCACAGCTCTTCCTCTCTTACGGCAGGGATGTTCTTCCCCAAGCCCACTCTTAATAGGTGTACGTTTCTACGCGAGCACTCAGTGTCTTAAGTCCCTCCATGGGCCTGCAGTGCATTTCAGCCCAGAAATCTTGTGAGCTTTCCCCCTCAGACTCCCTAGAGGAACACTGAAGCAACGATTCCCACCCCCACTTTACAGATGAGGAAGGTGAGGCTTGGAGAGAGGAAGGGCTTGCCAAAAGTCACTTAAGACTGTGGTGGAACCACTATGATACTAGACTCCATCTTTCCATCTTCAGCTTCCGTGCCCTGTCCCTGCATTTTCCTATCGCACCCCCATCCCAATCTCCCACTGTCTCAGACTATAAGGTATGAGAGGAGAGCAAATCTTGTCCACATTCCAGTGCTAGAATTTAGCTATTATCAGCCTCATTGAAGTTTTTTTGTTTGTTTTGCAATGAATTTCTATATAACTTGTTCTAATTGTGAAAGTTTTCAGGAAGCCACATTGTGTTGGCTTGATGGGTGTGTTCCAGACTGAGGGTATAAGGCCCTGCTAATCCTGGGAGGGGACTTTTGACACCATCACCTGGGTGACAATAAAATAGGCCTTGGCCACAGAACAATGTGAGAGCTCAGGGATCATGCACCCCTAGGGTAGAGAACGACATTGGGATTCTTTTGGAAGCCCAGGGACTGATGTGGGTAGGATGAGCATCATGTGAGTATTGTGGTTTTCCAGATGAACTGTAACTACTGTTTGCTAGGCCTGGGTCTTGTCAGCTAAGCCAGGATAATCTGACTCCCTGAGTCCTGACTCCTTTGCTGAAGAGATCAATGATGACTTTAATGCATGGTATGCCCAATATTCTTTGTCACTGGGGCTATCAAGACACCTCAGCTGTACACCCTTGTGTTTTCTTCTCACTGTATTATCAGAAACCTTTTGGTAAGTTGTGTCTCACTCACCTTCATGCCCTCAATGGAGCTCTGCACATAGTAGGTATTCGCCCACTTCAGGCTGAAATACATTGAATAATGTCAAGCCAATTGATGCAGCAAAATGGACCTCCTTACCTCATAGAGTGTGATGACCCCATTGGTCTCATTGGGAGGTTTCCACTGGATGTAGATCTTCTCCTCAAAGGGCCCCCCTTGGATGGATTCTAGAGGAACAGCTCCTGGAACTACAGAAGGGAACAGTTAGGAACTTGATGTCACCTTCCATCTCATTTCCCCAGCCCCATTGACCTAGAACAGGAGTCAGAGAACTTTTCCTGTGAAGGGTCAAATAATAAATATTTGAGGCTTTGTGGGCCATATGGTCCTTGTTACAACTACTCAACTTTGTGCTTGTAGCACAAAAACAGCCATAGTCAATCATAAACGAATGGGCATGGCTGCGTTCCAATAAAACTTTATTTCTGAAAACAGGCAATGGGCTGAAGTTGACTCACGGGCCATAGTTTGCTAACCCCTCTCCTGGAAGGCTGATGGCTTTTCATTTGCAGGCTGAGCAAGTTTTTTCTTGAAGTAAACCTGACCAGGGTAGGGAGGACATCAGTAGACTCCAGATCTGCCAGCAGGTGGGATTCTGGAATTAGACTCTCGCCTTAGGATTGGTATTTGAGGAATGCAAAGTGAGCTTCACTATCGTTTCCCTAACCCTGTCTAGTTTTCTCCAACTATAGGAAGGGCTTCCTCAGTTTCCTAATACCTGAATCCAACAGGAACTATGTGCCTTGAAACTTCAATCCAATTAGAAAAGTTTGCCTCCTAGCTCTAAGAAGGCAGCTAGTTTGTCTCGCTGCTGAATTGCCAATGCCTGGCAATGGTAGACCATTGATAACCATTTGCTGGTTGGGCAAATAGGTGAATAAATGACCTATGCTAGCATTTTGCCATAATGAGCAAAACCCTTCCTGGTCTGCTTCTGTACCCAGGTCAATCTTCCTGCCAGCATCTTCCTGCTGGAAACCAACATCATTATGACAGGAGGATGCTGAACCATACAATAAATGATTCCCCAAACTTCCAGTTATAACCTAGAGAATCATGAATTCATGTAAATCATTACTGGATCTGTTTATATTTTGGCATTATAAAAGCAGTTACTTTTACTAAGCACTTACTCTTTGATCAGAATTTTACACACATTATTTCATTTAAGCTACAAAACAGCTCTGCCTAGTCTGTATTATCTCCTTTGAGCTGATAGGGAACTGAGGTAAGAGAATTAAATGACTTTCTCAAGGTCATACGGCTCTTAAATTGTAAAAAGAGAACTGAACACCTGTCTGTGAGCTTCAAAGCATATACTCTTAATCATCACGCTATGCCTCTCTAGATATAGCCTTAGCCATATGTTGCAATCAGTTCCCTATTGTTAAATTAAAACATATTTAGTTTTTCTCATTATGGACACAATACATAGAATTTGTTGAATATTAAGAATATACAAAATGGTTAAAAAAAGAAAAGAACAAAATCACTCAAAATCCCCATAACTGCATATATTTTTCCTATGCATAGACATATTTTATTTTTTAAAATTAAACTCCTATTGTGCATATTGTGTTGTGACTTTCTTTTACGGCTAAACAAATCACAGATTAAAACAAATCCTTACGTGTTCTTGGGGGCTATGCATTTTAATGGCTGCTCAGAGCAGGATATGACCCATTACAGTCACCAATCCTTTATTATTGGGCATTAAAGTTGGTTTGAATTCTTTATGATTATAAGTAACACTGCAATGAGCATTCTTATAAATAAGTATTTGCATGCAACTCAGCTGATGTCCCTAAGATAAATTCTTGGAAATTAATTTATTAGGTCAAAGTAGATGAACTATTTTACTTTTAAAGCTTTTGACACATATTACCAGATTGGCTTCCAGAAAGTTTGTATCATTCTGGGCTCCCCAACAGAAGAATATGCCTATTTCCAATCCTTGCCAACACTGACTATTTAAAAAATTAAGTGTATGTGTATGTATATTTTTTTAAAATGCTGGAGAGTGCAGATTTCTTTCTCAGTTTAATTGGCCATTTTCATCGATTCTTTTATGAACATGCTTTCTATACCCTGTGCTCATTTTCCTGGATGGCTCTTCATTTTTGTTCATTGTTGTCTTATGGGCTTGTAATTATAATCTGTTTTTTTAAAAGAACATAACTTTTTTGCATAGGTTACAAATATTTTTGCCAGTTTTTCATTTGCTTTTTAAATCTTTTAGGTATGTAGAAGCTTTTGTAGTCAGATCTCTTATTGCTTTTCCTAATCCATTCATCCTTGCCACAAATATTTGTTGAAAATTTAATATGATCAAGGGATTGTGATGGACACTAGGGATGCACCAGTGACAAAGAAAGATATAGTCAAATCCTTGATAAAGCTTGTATTCTGGAAAGGGAGACAGACATTAAATGAATAATTACACTCCTAATTAATTTTTAAAGTTGTTATCAGGACTTTGAGGTAAAGGCACAAGGTGTCGGGAGAATTACAACAAGTAAAGAAAATCTAGTCTAGCAAGTCAGGGTAATAAGTGGAAAGTAAGTTAGAGTTGATGGATAAGTAGAAGTTCCTAGGGCAAAAGGGAGGAGAATGGGTGTTGGAGTGCGGTGAGCAGCTTTGTGAGGGCAAGAGGGGAGAGAGAAATACCATCCTGAGGAGAAAAGATGGTAGCTGGGACCAGGGCAATGGTAGTGTAGAAGAGAGTAGACTGTGTAGGAGATTTGGGGGTGCTAAACTAACGTGATTTGGTGACGATGGATAAGAGTGAAGGAGGGAAGAGATGTGTCAAGGAAGACCCCAGCTCTTCTGTTCTATACAACTGGGGTGGACCAGAGAGTTGTTCACAGAGAGGGAGCCTAGAGGAGGACTAGTTTTGAAAAGGAAGCTGGTGAGCTCAGTTTTTGTTGTACTTCATTTGAGGTGTGTGTAGAACACCCAAGTGGCAATGTTGAGTAGCAGTTGGATATATGAGACTGGAGCCAATGTTTAGAAATTGAAACCACGGGTAGGGAATAGATCTTGTAGCAAGAGCATAGAGAAAAACAAAAAAAGCAGGTCTAAGACTAAGGCAAGAGAAATTCCAATCTTAACAATTAGGAGAAAAACAAAGAAATGAAGAAACTGGGAGACTATGTTAGAGAAACAACGGGAAAACCAGGAAGGTGAGCTGTCATCGAAGCAGCCAAGAGAGGACCAATAAGGGACTGGTTAACAGTGACAAATGTGGCTGAGTAGTCAAGTAAGATACGACCTTGTATGTGCCCATTGAATTTAGTGTCTTCAAAGTTACTTGTGACCCGAGCAAGAGTAATTTAGGGAGAACATTGGTGTCACAAGCCATCCTACAGTGGGTGGAGAAGAGAGTGGAGGGGGAGGGATTGTGCTGAGACAAGTAAACTATTCTGGCTGAGAAGGAAAGGGGAATGCAAGAAGTGGCAGGGATGAGATATGGAGCCTAAGCAGTGCCCGGCCCCCCCAAAGACGGGAGAGGTTACGGCATGATTAAAGGCAACCAGGAAAAATCCAAAATTGAAGTAAGAGGTAGAAAGGGGGGAAAGAGAGAGAAAATAACTGACATTGGCAGAGTCCTTAAAAGGCAGGAGTAGGGGCAGGTGGAAAGAAAGCCCCTTTCCCTCTGTGAGAGAAGAGAAGAGGAAGAAAATACGCAGATGCTCTGCAGGGGGAGTTGAGGTGTCCTAATGGCTCCATTTTATTGAGAAGAGAGGGTAAAACCATCTACTATAAATGTCGTGGAGGAGGAGTTTCATCAGGAATTTGGGAAGAGCTGAGAAGCTTTATTCATTGAGAAGTGGAACATAAGCTGAATACAGAGATGCTGATGCTGCCCATTAAGGAGGGTCTATCTGATGGGGGTTGCGACCGTGACTATCAAGCTAGTAGCACTAGGCCACGTGGTCTCCCCCTTTAATTCCAGTTTAAAGTAAATTCTCTTCCTCACCCTAGATCAGGTGAATAGTCATTTGTATTTTCTTCTATTTATTTTATGATTCACTCTCATCTTTTTCTTTTTAAACTTAACACTTTAATCCATCTGGAATCTATCTTACGTATTGTACAAAGTAGAGATCTAACTAAAGTTCTTTACAGTTTTCTTAGGACAATTAATTAACCAGTCAGAACTTCTCCCAGTGATTTAAAATGCCATTTTACTACCGTGTTAAATTATTTTATATCGTCGCATATGTTGTGTGGCTTTCTGTTCTATTTCATTGAGTCATAACTTCTACTCTGACAGTATTTCCCTGTTGTGTTGATATAACATGCTTTGATATTCAACTGAACAAGTCCTTTTCTTTCATTATTCTTCATTTGCAAAGTTTTCTGGGCTATCACTACTCATTTATTCTTCCAGAAGAACTTTGGAATGATTTTACAAAACTTCAAAAATGTTCCATCAGAATTTTTATTTCAGTTGGATTCTTCACTTCTTTGGGGACCAAATGACACTTTTTTATAACAAGTCCTCCTACCAGTAATACTGTATAATCTTCATTTATTAATGTTTATTTTTAGGTCCCTCAGTTAAAAATATATTCTTTTTAAATTTCTTACAAAGTGTATTCCTAGAACTTTATTACTTTTGTTCATATTATTTTTGCGTTATATGAAAAAGCTTTTCTTATAAAACATATAAGACAAAAGTATATGTAATAAATGTGTAGTTTAAAGAATAATTATGAAATGAACACACATGTACTCACTATCCACTCTAGGAAATAAAACATCACTGTGTCATTGAAGCATCCTACGTGCCCACACTGTTGACTCTTCTCTCCCCCATCAGAAAAAATCATGTACTATCCTGAACTTACGTTAATCGTTCTCTTTATATTTATTTGGAGTTATAAATGTGTACTTGTACCCCAAGACAAAATATCATTGAGTTTTTCCTGGTTTTCTTTATATTTACATGGAATTGAGTGTTTGTATTGTACGATTTGCATTTGTTACTCAACATTGTTTTAAGATTCATCCATGTTGATGCACATAGTTGTATTTCATTCATCTCCACTTTATGGATACAGTCTTCTTTACTTCACCATTCTACTGTAGATGGACTTTAGGGCTGTTTCCCAATGGGGCTATCTTAGGACACTGCTCCTATGAATATTTTTGTACATTCAGTTGAACATATACAAGATTTCAT